CGGGCCGAGGCGGCGGCGCTGCCTTCAGCACGAAGGCCAGCGCCCGCCGCCATCTTCGCGCCGCCGCCGGCCGCAACCGCCACCGCCTGCCCGGGGCCGGGCTCGGGGTCCCGGTGCCGGTCCCGGTGCCGGTCCCGCCGGGACGGGCCGGCGAGGGGAGCGGGGAGGCGCCGGCGCCTTCGCGCCGTCGGGAAGGGGGTGGCGTGGGCCGCTGATTGGGGGATTCTTGGTTTTAGCTTTTATTATTATTATTTTAATGCCGCGTGGTGTCATAAGAAATGTAGCATTTACCCCCGATTTACTCTTTATGTTACAAATGTCGGGATGTTAAGCCCCTGGTTTTCATGGGCTGCACTGAGCAAGAGCTTCCTGATACGTGTGGAGAGAAGGGGGACGGCAGCGGGAACGGGGCTCTCCCCTCTGGCAACGGGAACGGGGCCCCCGGCAACGGGAACGGACACCGGGCAACGGGAACGGGCCACTCGGCAACGGGAACGGGCCCCCAGCAGCGGGAACGGGAAGGGGCCTCCCCGAAACGCAGCTTTGCTGGGTGCCGTGGCAGGCTGGCCGGCCGGGTTCGCCAGGCTCCTCATGCAGTTAAAGGAGGCTTTAACTTGGGGCTGGCCATTCCCCCTCTCCCCGGCAACGCCAGGAGCCTGGGAATGCTCCGCACAGCCCCCCACGTCTGATGCCCAGGATTTGGGGGCATAAACACTGCCGCCTCGTTGGAGATGCTGCAGCCATGAGGCCATGGATTTTGCTTCCCACTCAATGAGGCTCTCCCAGGGGGCCTTTCCTGCGCCACAGCTTGTGCTCTGCTTTCCCTTGGCTCGGGAAAAGGGCCCTGCTCACGCTCGCGCATGCAGGCGGCACGGCCGGGAAAGCCGAGGCCCCTAGGTGCTGACACGCTGCTGTGCAGGAGCTGAAGGACTCCGGGCTCCTGCTGCCTTCCCTTGCACTGCTGGGGGGTGGCTTCCTGCTGCAGCGTGCCAAGGCTGTGCCCCAGCACACACTGTCCCCTCTTAACAGCTGCAGAAAACCCAAGACTATTTTTATTCTTGTTTCCCTATGTTACTTTGGTGCCTGGATATCTCAGCTAATATATCAAGGATATCCAGGACTCTCTGAGCAAGAAGCTTTATGCAAAAAAGCAGGCCCTCCGCTGAAAAGCTCAGTGTCAGCAGACAGAGAAAATACCGTTGGAGCAATTTCTCACCTGTATTGTATTTTACTCTTTGTATTCTGTTTGGTAACTGTTTATTCTGATTATGCAGGTTACCCTTTCCCTACTGCTCCTCCTGTGGATCCATTTGCAAAAATCAGAGTAGATGACTGTGGAAAAACTAAAGGATGCTTCAGGTCAGTCTGAAATGAAAATATGGGAATCATTCTGCTTGTATTAGGCATATTATTGAATATTCCCCATTCAGTTTAATATATGTTGTTATTCATAGCTAGGGAGTGTTTTTTTTCATGTTTCTTGCATTTTGACAAAGCCCTTACAAAATCAGGCCTAGGAAGGTCAACAAAGTGTAACTGTTTTGTTTGTAACCGCTTAATGTAATGATCAGATTTTATATAGATTATCAGATTTTAATGTAACAGATTACTATAAACACTGTAATTAATGTGCTTTACTTAATATATTATATTAAGTAATATATAATATATTTTACACCAATTATACCAAATTTTGGTATAATGCATTATTCCAAATCCAACTTTTTTTCTTGCAGACATAATAGATCATTAGAAGGATCATTAGATGAGGATCTAGAAGATCATTAAAAGGAAAAGTGATATGTATTTCCGATTTCATTTAGGTATGGTAAACCTGGATGTAATGCAGAGACTTGTGACTATTTTCTAAGTTACCGTAGAATAGGAGCTGATGTTGAATTTGAGTTGAGTGCCGATACTGATGGCTGGGTGGCAGTGGGATTTTCTTCAGACAAGAAAATGGTAAGACTAATGATTCTTATGGTTCTTTGTGTTGTCAAAGTGTACACTTACACATATTTGAATAGACACGGCTTCTATTTATCTATCAGAAAGTGAGCACAGAGAGAAAAACTGACCTATTGAAAACAAGCTACAGCTCCCTAGCCTATTTGTAAGCAGAAGCTAGGCTCCCAGAAAACTCCTTCATCCTTTTTACCATATTCTTACCTTTTTTGCTAAATATTACAACTTTTCAGTGTTGAATGTCTGCATGTTATTAGATTTTTGCTTTATTTTTATGTAAAAAAGTCCTCAGACTAAATCACATGTTAAATGCCCTATAGCATTTTATGCCAGTGTTATTTGGACAAAATATGCTTCAGAAACTAGAGAGAGAGAGAGATTTATTATTAGGTAAAACAGCTGATTTTCAATAATATAAACAAGGATTTCACTATTTAACTTCAAAGATTGTTTTTTTTTCTTTCATCCCTAAGTGTTGTTCCAGAAAAGGCAGAACTCTGCGACAAAATGATTACTGCTAATTTAAATATACATGTTCTATGAAGCGATCTTATTGAGATTTCTTCATCCATCTCTCAAGAGCTTTACTGGATTTGGTTTTTAACTTTTTTTTTTCTTTCAAAAGCTTTACATTTCATTGTGTTTTAATTATGTTTGTGTCATAAATCCTAAGAAATAGGACTATTTCTTGCTTAGTTGTAAGCAGTAGTCTGAAAAATAAAATAGTATTTAGACATCCGAGTCTTGGATCCACAAAACTCGATGGGAAGACTTGCACAGAGTTGGCAGCTTGTTTTTTAACCAACCCAAAATGAGAAATTGAAGGAAAATGTGAGGGTAGGTGCTTTTCCATTATAGGTATATGTGTCTTAATAGCACACATTACCTCTCAGGTTAAGCCTATCAGGTTATGTCTCCAGTAGGGCGAATAAGGTATTTTACAAGCCACATGTCACAAAGCTGTGTGAAAGCAAATAGTTTTGCTGTGAGTGAAGTCTAATGCATAGCAGTCAGCTGGGCTAAAAACAACTGGCATTCATCTTCATTTCCTTCTTCCACCTCTGAGAGGTGTTCTGGTCCCAGTGATGGGACTAGAACGCACTGCTAAAATGACTCCGGGTAAAACAACTTGTCTAGGAAAAGTGGAGTGAACTTTGGAGGCTCAGATCAAAATGAGGTGGCCTGGATAGCTGGAGAAGTTCAGGGAAAAATAGTGTTTGGGTCCTCAGTAGATTTTTTTCCTTTTCCAATGTGCTTTTTCTAATGACCCGTTTCTTTGTCTAAGATAGCATTGTACTTGTTCTACTTCTAGGCTTTATGCCTATTTAGGATTTTGTAACCTCATTCTATAAATAAAGAATCAAATAGTTTTGTTTTCTTTTAATATAATTTTTTTGTTGTTGTTGTTTGGCTGGCTGTTTGGGGTTTTTTTTGTTTTTTCTTTTTTCTTTTTGTACTTAACAATTAGGAATCTGTGCTCGAATGCATAAAAATAAACTTAGAGAATTAAGTTATGGAGAACAGTGAGGAGCTCAAGACAGAAGCTAGTAAAGTTGCCTGGAGCAGTACAAACCTGCAGAAACTCTTTGTGAATGAATAGTTATCCATTTTCTCCCCTTACTTTTCACACATCTTTTACAAAGATTAAACAATATTAAACATTAAACAACATAAAACAACAAGAATTGAGACACGGTCATGTTAGCGACTACGGTTAGCATCATCATTGTGGCATTTCAGAAGGATTAGTATTTGAGAAGTAGGACTTATTTTTAATCCAGTACTGATACTCATTGAAACAGAATTCCTTAAAATGCCATTCATCAAACTTGCAAAATGGTTTAAAAGTTCTTGATATTAAAGCCTCTGTAGGAAAGTACTCCTAAAACTGTTTGCAGAGTGATATGTTATTGTGCTGTTTTGACAATTATCTCAAATGATTATTGTAGGAATTAATTAATATTTCTGGGAATTAATTCTACAAATAATTGTCTGACACTTCCCTCTCCTATCCACTGTTTCTTTCTTCTTTGTCATACTTGATGGTTGTTGACACTTTTTGGAGAAATACATATTGATTACTCTTTTCCTGTATTTTATAGTGTTTTCTATTTCATTACCATCTGTTGAACATTGTTCATTTTCTCTTAGATAAAATGAGAAGTGATAATTGCCTCTATTAATATGAGAAGTGATTGGAAAAGGCAGGCTGTTGTTTATGCTATTGTTTATCCAGATTTGTTAGATTCATTTCCTCTCTTTTGCTAAATTCCGTTGCTTTCTTGATGATTTCAAGGGATTTCAATGAGAAAAATGCCTTGTGGTGCTTTTGTTTTATTTTGTTTCATGTTTTTGCCTCGTAGGGAGGCGATGATGTCATGGCTTGTGTTCATGATGATAATGGAAGAGTCCGAATCCAGCACTTCTATAATGTTGGGCAGTGGGCTAAAGAAATCCAGAGAAATCCTGCTAGAGATGAAGAAGGGGTCTTTGAAAATAATCGCGTAACCTGTCGATTCAAGCGTCCTGTATACGTTCCCCGAGAGGAAACTATTGTAGATCTGCACCTGAGTTGGTACTACTTGTTTGCCTGGGGTCCAGCAATTCAGGGTAAGTTGATGTCTGTGCTACTGTTAGAACTGTGGTGCCAAGGTTGATAAAGGTCCTTCAATGTGTTCTTCTCACTAGTCCACTTTTTTTAAAAAAAGTACACTAAGATTTTTGGCAGTATGAGGCTTAAAAATTAGTTAAAAAGGAAGAAGCGATAGATGTCGGCATCTTACAAGTCTGGTTTTCATGTAATTATTATCCTCATTCTCCAAAGCAGAATTTGGTTAAGAACAACTTGAAATTCTGAAGTCCTTGGCAGGATTTTTATTAATACAGGGATGTCCTTTGTTTTGTTTAAAAGTTTAATTTCAGAAAGCAGACAAACGACTGGACTCGCTGCCAGTGTCATTTTGCATGCTCAAGTACTTCTGAAAATTATATAGCTTTCTAGCTATTTCTTTGATAAAGTTATGGGGAAAAAGAAGTCATCTGATAGTATCTTTTTTCTGCCCTTACACACTAAAGGTTCTATAACTCGTCATGACATAGACTCCCCACCTGTATCAGAGCGTGTTGTCAGTATTTACAAGTATGAAGATATTTTCATGCCTTCAGCTGCCTATCAGACCTTCTCTTCTCCCTTCTGCCTGCTCCTCATTGTTGCACTGACCTTCTATTTATTGATGGGAACCCCCTGACTGCTGGAAAAGAGCACGAATTGTCAGTGAAAGTTTCTCAGGATGGATGCATAGATGGATGGATGGATGATGCACTTTTATATTGGAATTTATATCACACCACCACCATCATCTTGCTGCTTTTGAATATAGTTAGCTTCTCTGGAGAAGGAAACATCTCCATCGAGTGGCAGAGTGGTGACAAGTCATGTAAGAAAAATCAGTGAACAAATAGCAGATTTTTTCAGTGTTATGACTACTTGCTTAAGAAAAGAAGATTTTTGTAAAATCCTTGTGTGTGTGCGTGCGTGTGTGTGTGTGTGTTTGTGGGGGTGTCTCTGTGTGTGTTTGAGAGACGTTAGTGTTCGATATCTTATCAAACAGCAAAAATGCCTTTCAAATTGCTTCCTGAAAAGCTGAATTGGGGAAATATTATAGTGCTGTTTGACACTTTTGGTGCAGATGGCACAAGTGCAAGTACAGATGCTGAACTTAAGATCAGGCTATTGATTCCACAGTATAAATCCTACCCTATTGATAGGATACCCTCTCTCTCTCTCTTTTTTTAAATATATATTAATTGAAGTTTACTTATTCTGGTACTTTCTGAAACTAAACATACATAATCAAGCATAAACATGATGGTTTTTTAAACAGGCGGAAAGGAAAATAATGTAAAATCTCTATACATAGAAAAATAAGTGTAAACCTGAACCTACACATTCCCAAGAAGCCATAGACCATTCCCCTAATAGATGAACTAATTTTTTTTTTCTCTTTTTATGATGGAACATTAATATTGTTGACATGTAAATATGTTTTTAAGCAGTTGTTTAGTCACATTAAGGAATCTTTTTTTGTTGTTATATACTTATACACACTGTTCATGTTACAGATGAATATGGGCAGCTGATGTTAACTGTTATATAGAGATGAAAATACACTTGACATTATTTATAAGGAAAAATAACGATTAATAAAAAGAAAAGTGGTCTCAGTTTCATCAAACCATTCCTAAAAATATGGTGATTGTGGAAAAATATAAGATGAAGAAGAAATACATTAGAATTTTTTCACCAACAAATATTACATAAAATGAATGCTAGATGTTATCAAAATGGAAATTGTCAAAATATATTTGTGAGCCACAGAATATTAAAAAAATACTGAATTATTGTGCAGAATTTCTCATCTTTACATGTACACACATAGCAGTAAAACGTACTTAAAGTTGCTCTTTCACATCCCAACTTGCCCTATTGGACCAAGATTTCAGCCTCTGGTGTGACAAACTAGAGGAGCCAGTAATCCTGGTTCTAGCAAATTATCTGATGGGCCTCCTGTCTACTAGAAGGGTGTAGAATGGTTAAAAATAAATAACTACTTCCATCGAGTTTGCATCATTATCCACAAGCCCAGCAGAAGTAGTTAGTTATTTTATTCTTTTTAACTAACCTAAGTTTGTAGGCTTAATGTTAGAAAGAACGATTGATTCCTTTTGTAATGAAATGGCTTTGACTTGCTTCAGAGTGTTTTTTTTTAAGTGGTTATGGCAGTTCAGAGTAGGGGAATAGTTTTTTTTTTTTTTTTTTTCTCTAGTTAATATATATCAACACCAACCAGGAAAAAATGTCTCTCTCAGAAAAGATTCCCTCCTCCAAATCAAATCATTTTAGATTCCTTTTGGTGACTGCTGTCGAGACAGCTGTTAAGCAGCACAAAGTTGCTTCCATTTCTGAAGTGTTTTATTTTGAGAGTGAGAATAACTTGGAGTTTCCTAATTAAAAAGATAGCATTGGAAAACACCGTGAGGCATTAGCTGACATCCTCGAATGTGTTCCTCTCACACAGAACAAAATTTGTGACATTCCTTGTTACATCAAATGTAGTATCGCCTTCTGCTCACTCTGTCTGTCTTAGTGATAATGTCTTGCTTTATACTTGAAGTTCGTCAGCTGTTCGGAAGAGAAACCATTTTCCATGTTTATATTTGTGACAGTGCCTATCATAAATGGAATTTTGACTATAATGTCTAACTGCTACTTCATTACAAATAATAAGTAAGGATAGTCTTAAGTCCTGTAAGGATTGTGTCTGGATTTACACAATAAAGAGTAGCGTAGGATAAGAGACAAAAATGGGCAGAAAGCATAGAACTTTAGTTTTTTTTAGGGTAATCAAATATATTTATCTTGTGACTGAGACGCTACTATGTGCCAACTGTTTTATTTTTCCTTCAAAAGGTCTAATTTCATAATGTTGTTGGATACAGGATGATACTTTTATGCAAAGTTCTGTTATGATAATTCAGTTTTTTGAAAGAAAATATACTGATGAGAAAAATTATGAGCTTGAGAGAGGATCTTATCAATATGTATATTGATACCTGAGGGGAGAATGTAGGGAGGATGGGGCCAAACTCTTCTCAGGGGTGGCCAATGACAAGACAAGGGGCAATGGGTACAAGTTGAAACGCAGGCAGTTCCATCTCCATGTGAGGAAGAACTTCTTCCCTGTGAGGGTGCCAGAGCCCTGGCACAGGCTGCCCAATGAGGTTGTGGAGTCTCCTTCGCTGCAGATCTTCCAAACCCACCAGGACACCAGTCCTGTGCCCGTGCTCTGGATGCCCGTGCTGGAGCAGGGGGGTTGGACTAGATGATCTATAGAGGTTCCTTCCAACCTCAGCCCTTCTGTGATTCTCTGAAAATGTTGAAATCCCACTGTGGTGCTCTGGTGGCACAGATTGGTTCTGCAACTCCTGGGCAGCAAGAAAATAATTACTTGTGGTCTCCTTATTCTGAGGATAAATGTGCCAAAGTTGTGTTTAGCTTGACCTTTCCCAGCCTTAGCAGAGGGAATAGTGGACGACAGGAGCGCTGGCTTCGGCAGCAGACCCTGGCTGCCAGGGAAGGGCTTTGGAGCTCTCTGGGGCTGCTCCAGCTTGGGGCCGACCAGCCCACGAGCTCCACAGCTGCCTCTGGGATCAGGCCCCTGCGCTCAGGGCCTGCCATGAGACAGAAGGAGCAACACGGCCAGTTCTGTGGCAAGTCCCCTCAATACACGTGTCCTCTTTTGCCAAACTGGATGCTACGGAGATGGTGCAGGCTGATGATGAGCCTTGCCCTGAAAAGTCGTGTGCTCTTTGTCGCTAGCTTGTGTTTCATACCCGTCTCCACGGTCGCCTTGTGCTATTTAGCACCGTGACTGTGAGAAAGCCGAGGTCGGCTGTGAGGAGCAGTTAGTGGGCAAGGAGGACGGACACACAGCTAGTCAGCTAAGCACAGCTAGAAGTCTGTCCCTGGTGACACTCCATTTACCTGCAAGGGAATCACTGGGAACAGCTTGGAATTGGAAGCCCTCTTCCTGGTATCCAGTTTTGCTTCTCCTTACTTTCCCTTCCCTCCAATGGTGCTTTTTTTTTACAAAGAAGCAAGAAAATGTTTCCCTTTTTGGAGCCCTCTGATCTTTCCAGCTGCCTTCTGGGACCCCGAAGGGTTGCACCGTGCTGGACTCTAGAGGAGGAATCAAGATTTATACATATACCTCGTAACTTCTACTAGCCTTTAAATTTCATTTTATGCTCCTTGGGTTGGCCACAGCAATGTGTGGCAGACATACTTTGCTTTTTAGTCTTCCCTAAATGGTTTTCCTAAACAAAAGCATGCAGTAATAGTTTTAGGAGAGGAAACGTATTTTACAAACAGAGCTACACAAAACATATTCTAACTCATTTTCAGAGATACTTATTGTGAGATACCTCATATTTTATATGAAGAATTGGATCGGGAGCCTTAGCTATGTGAAAGAAGAGGAAATGCATTTGAGCATGGCAGCTGTTCCAGGGCCTCCCAAAGCTGCACACACGGGTGGCCGGTGTGAATTGGCCTTCTCCATTTCAGGGCTGATTCCACAGATTTTCCTGAGAGGAGCAGGTGACGCAGCCTGCTTGAATGCTGCACAATGCAGGGCTCAGACCCCTCATGGTGAAAGCGTGGAAAGATTCATAGCAAGGCTGAATGGCAAGCAAGGGCTCATGTTCCTGTCATGCTTACCCCTTGTGCACAAGTTTACACGTGGCAGAACATTTCTGGCACTCTTAGTCACATGAAAGCTGTGCTTGTTATGAGTAAAAGCAACAGCCCTGACTTGAACTGACTGCAGCTTTCGTGCAGATCCTCGCTGTGCATGGGCTGATGCAGCAGAAGGGCAGGTTGTGCCTCAAGATGGGAACCACAACAGGCACCATCCGCTGCTGTCCTGGAGCAGTGGCTGGTGCTGGGCGTTCAGCCCAGCTCCATGTCTTATCTCATCAGCTTTGCTGCCCGTTACCTGTTTCCCCTAATTCAAATTGCATTACCAGCATGGCTGTAGTGGTGCATTACGGCCGAGTGCAGCTCCCCCATAGCATGACCAGCACAGATACAGATAGAACAGCAGCCCCTGGAAGATTTAAGGAAAATCCACATTCCTCACGTACAAATATTAATCATAAGAAAGCTGCTTACATATGTTGACTATATGCCAACTTTTCATAATTTTTTTTCATATCCATCTGTTCCTTCATACAATTTATATACCGAGTAGCTGATCTTTGCAGATGCAGAGTCAGAACTTCTTTTTTTCCCTTTTTCTTCATTCTATATAGTATGAAATGATCACTTACCTAGCTTTATTTTTTTTCCGCTTCTGCAGAATTTGGTAAAACTACATATGCCTCTACTTGGGTATCTAACCTCTCTAAATTGGTCTCCAGTAGTGAGGAAAGCCAGTGTAATTCCATAGAGTTGAGGAACACTTGTGCAGCTGATAGATGTCAAGAAGCAGAGTCAAAAGACTTTGCTTTCTTTGGAGATCTCTGCTGGAATTGGCAATGGCAACGAACGTGCTGGAAGAAAAGGGGCAGAGCACTTTGCTTCAATTGCTAGGTAATTTGAATCAAACTCATTTGGGGTGATTGTTGCTTTGCCTTCTTTCTTAGCCAAGTTGGAATGTTCCTTCAAGCTGATGAGAGGCTGGAGTATAGGTAGAGCTTTACAGCACACACATCATGAAAGCTGCTGCTCAATCTCCTAGGCCAATGTTGATCTACAATTAGAGGCTGCTTAGCAGTGTCCTAACAAGGTGAAATTCTGTGGCACTCTCAACTTTCTGTAAGGCTACTGTGCCCTTACACTTTGTAAGCTCTGGCAGACTCTGCAGATTGCTACAAAAAGTACTACCTGTTTAGCAGTAGTCTTCTGAGCTGTTTCTAAATTACTGCTTGCTCAAATTTGTGTTTTCGTTTCGGCAGACGGAAATGCATTTTTCCAAAGTGCCAGGCAGCTGCAGATCCTGCAGACCTTCCAAGCTTACTGGGGGCAGCAAAAGCCCTTTTGGCAACTGGAGACTGCAAAGTGTGGCCTAAGTTAGTTTCACAGACTCCCTTAAGCTTGATGTCATCCAGTTCAACTTCATAAGATGGCAATAGTAGAAGACTAAATGAAGGGGCAATTTACTTGCAATCTGTGCAAAAGAATAAAAATCTTCAGGCTACTTTTTCACAACAGTGCTTTGCAAGGTTTACATTAATGACAAAGATTAATGACAAAGAAATCTTTCTAGAAAGAATATTTAGGCAAATTAATTTTGTTGGAGTTATCACCATGTGTGCAAATTCAAGAACAGTACAAGGCAGTTTGAAAATAAAAAGGCAGACTATGGTTTGGAGATTGCAAGAAGACAAAATGCAGAGTCATATGTGCTACTTTACCCTTACCTAAATTTTTAGACAACCTTGTCCAGAATAATATATAGCAATATGGCATGTCACCTGCTCAGATATTATGTTTGCAGTTTTTCTATACTAACTTTTGGCACCTTCAGTAAAAAAACTAGCCCCTTGCTTGGCTTTTAAAGTATTTTCTTTTCTGTCCAAACAAGAGGAAAGAACATTGCACAGAATGAAGGCAATATTGTCATATACAGTATTAGAGTAATGTATGCAGTATTAAGGTAATGGGAGAGGAAGCAATGATGCCACATTTAAGTTGAGGTAGAGAAAACCTTATTAAAAAGCTGGTAGTAGCATTCTGGTCTTAAAACATAGTCAAAAGTGAAATTCCGAACACGTTAGCTTGATGAGAGAAATGAAACAGTGGGACAATGATATTTGCCAGTCATGTTGTCCACCTTCACTTCAGGAAGTTTTTGTTGTTGTTGTTGTTACCATATGTGAAACATCAAGAGCTCTGTTTAGTTTAAGACAGATGTCTGGCAGGTTTTGGTATTTCTGACTAATCTGTCCTAAAGTCTGGCTTGTTTTAACCACATCGTGGGTAAGCAAAGTGTCGTAACTGCGCTAACTCTTGCCACTTTGGTTTGTGTTACATGAATTGTAACGGTTGAATAGAAACTGTCAGCTCTGCCCTTTGATTTTGTTCAGTAAATTCTGATCAATATATGTGGATAAGCAACCTGTAAGTAGCGTGTTGTGTCCTGCATCGTTTATGCTGGTCCCAGTTCTGTGCTCCATACCCAGTGTCCAGCTGAATGCACTGGGAATTTGGCTAAGCAGGAGAGCAGAACTGGGGTTCTGTGGTCCAGAAGTTGTCATCAGGCTTTCATTTGGGCACCAGCCTCTTCAGAAGAATAACACTGAAGTTACTGTGACCTACAGTATTATTTTACAACCAGTGCATGCCCTAAAATATTGCTTTGTAACATCTGTTTTATACCAAATATTGATGTCCAAGTGAGCCTGGTCAGTTATTTGACAGTGACATACACTAATATTTATAAATCTGTTAAATAAATACCTTTTTAGTCTAAGAAAATGTGTGGTATGGCATATATAAAAGGAAAAAAAAATCAATCTCTGTGAGGCTAAAGAAGTCTCTGCTGCTGTCTTGTGTTGTGTGTTAAGAATTCCTTCTCATGCCATGGTGTGGAATTTATTACCCGGAGTGATTCCATTGAAGTCAGTAAGACTGGTCGTAACAGCAAATGAGAATGGGGGGAAGTGTTTACAGATGTGTGGGACTGTGTTTTGTTTTCTTGGTTTTCACCATCATAACTAAAGTGAAACTGTGAATAAATAATCAGAATTCTAACAAACTATTAAACAACAAGATGTTTACTAGAGGTCCTCTGGTGATCTTTACATGGTGGTTTTATAATATATTTATTCATAGTATGTAGCTATAGTGAAGGTACCAGTATTTCAAACGTGGCTGGTCTTTATCTCCTGCCACCACTGCTCCAGTGCTTGGCAAGCAGAGCAGCTGCTGATGCAGTGAGCACAGGCTATTGCACAGGTAAAAAAAGAAGTCGAAATTAAATTAGAGGCTGGGAACAGAGAGGAGCAGCTCCCTTGATACTCAACAAGCAAGAGCAGCTCCCTTGATACCCACCAAGCAAAGGCATCCATGGAAGTCTCCCAAGCAGGGGTGGTCTCTCAGGTCTGGGCTGGAATTTATGCTCTTGCTGGCGGTCAGAGGAGGGGACAGGCACAAGTCACCAAGACACGAGTTGCTCCGTGCTGGGATGGGCTCACTGCCACGACGAAGCTGCGCACAGCAGTGCAAGGAGGGGAGGCGGATCGTTCACAGCCCATAACAGAATGCAGTTTAACTAAGGCCTCAGACAAGGCTGTTTCTGCAGTAGAGTCAGCCACGCTGCTCTGCAGATGGGGCTGGTACCGTGGCTGGCGCTCGCTGTCGCATCCCAATCCAGTCATTCCTACAGGCACCAGTTGCAGCCTATCAGAGCCAGCGTTCCCGAGAGCTGGGCTTTGTTTTCTGCATTTTTATTCCTGCTGTTCTGCAAATAACGCTTCATTTGGACTCATCTGCACGTACACAAAAAAGAAATATCTCTTTTAGCGGGCTCGGACAGGACCAGGTTGCTCCGCTCCTCTAATCCAGCTTTCTGCATCCAGCGACGAGGACGCGGTCGCACGGGGGGGCGTGGCCTCATCTGGGGGCGTGGCCGAGGCCCCGGGGGGCTGGAGCGCGGTGCTGGGGGCGTGGCCGGCCGTGAGGGGGCGTGGCCTTGACCCCGGGGCGTGGCCTTTGGGTTGGGGGTGGCCTTTGCATGGGGGCGTGGCCTCGCGGGGGAGGGGGCGCTGGGGAGGCGGAACCACATCCCCCAGCACCCCCCGCGCGGGGCGGCCGCGCTCCCGCCCCGGTAGCGGCGCCGCCTCTCCGCGCCCGCGGTGCTGCTGGTGGCCGCGGCTGCGCGGGACCGAGCGGGCGCTA